CATTCTTTAAATGTTTGGTTGAATTCAGTGAAACCATCTGGTCCTGCACTATTATTTTTGATTACCGATTCAATCTCTTGGCTTGTTATAGGTCTGTTGAGATTATTTCTTTTGGGTTAGTTTTGGTAGATTGTGTGTTTCTGGGGATTTTTTTCCATTTAATCTTGATTATCAAATTTACTGGCCTGCAGTTGTTCATAATATTCTCTTATAATCTCTTTCATTTCTTTTAGGTAGTAACATTCCCACTTTTATTTCTGATTTTAATTATTGACATTCTTTGTTTTTTGTGATTAGTTCTTAATTTTGGTGATCTTTTCAAAGAATTATCTTTTAGTTTCACTGATTCTCTCTTTGGTTTTCTAATCTCTTATTTTGTTTTTTGTTCTGATCTTTATTATATACTTCTACCTGTGCTGGCTTTGTGTTTAGTTTGCTTTTGTTTTTTTAGTCCCATAAAGTATAAAGTGAGGTTGTTGATTTGAACTCTTTCTTCTGTTTTAAAGTAGGCATTTAGAGCTGTAACTTACCCTCTGTGTACTGCTTTTGCTGCATCTCATAAGTTTTATTATGTTGCATTTTAATTTTTATTCATTTCAGAGTGTTTTCTGATTTTCCTAGTGATTCTTCTTTGATCCATTGGTTGTTTAAGGTTATGTTGTTTAATTTCCCCCTATTTGTGATTTTTTTTTCCAGTTTTCTTCTCTTATTGATTTTAGTTTCATTTCATTGTGGTTGGAGAAGGTACTTTGTATGATTTCAGTCTATTGAAATATATTGACACTTGTTTTATGGCCTAACATGTGGTCTGTCCTGAGGAATGTTCCATGTGTACTTAAGAAGAAACTGTGTTCTGCTGTTGTTGGTTGGAGTGTTCTTTATATTTGTTAGGTCTAGTTGGTTTATAGTGTTGTTTAAATTCTCTAATTTCTTTTTCATCTTTTGTCTAGGTATTCCATCTATTATTGAAAGTGGTATATTGAAGTCCCCAACTATTATTGTAGAACTATCTAGTTCTCCTTTCAATTTTGCCAGCGTTTGATATGTTTGGTGCATATGTATTTACAACTGTTATGCCTTTGTGATGAATTGATCCTTTGTCAATATATAATGTCCTTCTTTATTTCTTATAGAAGTTTTTGACTTAAAAATATATTTTGCCTGTTGCTAGCATAGCTATCCTGGCTGTCTTTTGGTTTCTATTTCTATAGAATATCTTTTTTCCATCCTTTTACTTTTAACTTATTTATGTTTGGGGGTCTAAAGTGAGTCTCCTTTAAGCAGCATAAAGTGGGACCATGTCTTTTTACTCCATTCTGCCGTTACCTGTCTTTTAATTTGTAGTTTAATTCACTTACATTTGAAATAATTACTGATAAGGAAGAATTTCTGCCATTTTGCTTTTTGTGTATGTATCACATCCTTTTTGTTGCTCAAGTCCCCCACTGTCTCCTTCTTCTATGTTTGATTGATTTTTTTCTTGTGTACCATTTTGGTTTCTTTCTTTTCTTTGATGTATGTTTTTAAGTTATTTATTAGTGGTTGCCAAAGGGATTTTTAACATCTTAAATTTATAACAATGTAGTCTGAATTTATAACAACTTAATTTCAATAGTACACATTAACTCTACTCCTGATCAGTTGTGTATCCCTCTTTTCTTGTTATGGTCACAAATGATACTCTCATGTTTTGCGCCCATTAATATAGGCTAAAATTCGTGACTTATTCACACAGGAAACAAAAAGAAAAGTTACAAACAAGACACACAATAATACCAGCTTTTATATTCACCTGTGTAATTGCCTTTACCAGTGATCTTAGTTTCTCTGTATGTCTTCAAGTACTGTCTATTGTCTTTTTGTTTTAGTCTGAATAATTCCTTTTAGTATTTATTGTAGTAAAGGTCTACTAGTAATGAGCTTCATTAGCTTTTAATTATCTGGAAATGTCTTAATTTCTCCTTTATTTTTGAAGAATAGTTTAGCCAGATAGAGAATTCTTGGTTTACAGTTCTTTTCTTTTAGCACATTATCATCTCACTGCCTTCTGATCTCTGAGCCTTTTGATGAAAAATCTTGCTGCTTTTAAGATTTTCTTTCTGACTTTCAGCAGTTTGATTATTATGTGTCTCTTGTGAATTGCTTTGAGTTCATCTGTCCTGGAGTTCATTGAGCTTTTTGGATATATAAATTCATACATTTCATCAGATTAGGGAAATTTTCAGCCATTTTTCATCAAATATTTTTCTACCTCTTTGTCTTTTTCTTCTCCTTCTCATAGTATATATGTGGGTATACTCAGTAGTGTCCCACAGGTCCCTTAGGTTCTGTTTGCTTTTTCTTCATTCTTCTTTCTTTCTTCTCCTCAGACTGGGAGGAGACTAGGTAATTTTAAGCATCCTATCTTGAAGTTTGCTGATTCTTCTGTCTTCAGACTTCCTGTTGAGCCTCTCTAGTGAGTTTTTCATTTCAGCTCCAAAATTTCTATTTGATTCTCTTTTATATAAATTCAGTCTTCTATTCAGATGCCCTACTTGTTCATACATCCTTATTCTGATTTCCCTTAGTTCTTTATTTATGGTTTCTCTTTGGGCCTTTGGGCATATAGATAGTTAATTTAAAGGTTGTTTTTTGTTGTTGTTGTTGTTGTTGTTGTTGTTTTGCTGGGGGGGGAGTGAGTGCAAGCAGTGGAGGAGCAGAGAGAGAGAGGGAGAGAGAGAGAATCCCAAGCAGGATCCACACTCAGCACAGAGTCCGACATGGGGCTCGGTCTCACGACTGCGAGGTCCCGACTTGAGCCAAAATCAAGAATTGGACACTTAACTGACTGAGCCACCCACGTGCCCCTAGATAGTTAAAGTTTTTGTCTGATAGGACCAATCAGTGTTGGATTTCTTCATTGGTTTTTGTCACTTTTTTTTTTTCTATGCAAAGGCCATTTCCTGTTTCTTTGTATACTTTGTACTATTTTCTTGAGAATTGATTATTTTAGACAGTATAATATAGTAACTCTGAAAATCACATTCTCCCTCCTCTCCAGAGATTGCTGCTGTTACTTTGGAATGTTGCAGTTTTCTGTTTAGTGACTTTAACACATTATTTTTGCAAAGACTATATTCCTTATTGTATGTGATCATTAAAGTCTGTGTTCTGTTATCTCTGAGGTCAACCTGTGATTTCTTCCAATGCCTGGACTTAATAAAGAAAAAAGGGGTCTTTGCCTCTTTAAATTCCTTTGACAGGCATTGCCTGGGAAGCCCTTCAGCCTTAGGGGTTTGAAACAGTGGCCAGTCTCTCCCTCCTCTCTCAGTGGACCAACAGGCAGATCCGAACACACATCCCCAGTGTTGGAGGATGGGTTCCTACCTTGGTACCAGCAAGCCATCCTGTGAGTATGGGCCACTGTTGCCACAGCTGCCTTCTCTAAGGATGAGGAATGCATGGTGGCAGCTGCTAGTAAAATGTGAAATTCACTGATATATACCAGCTTCTTTCTTCATCAACCATTTTTCAGATGCTGCAAGTGTCTAGCTAGACCCCAGAGTTCTAAAATAGTTCTTGCCAGCTCAGTAGTTGATTTGGTTTAGGGACTGATTCCTGGAGCTTCCTGCTCTGCCCTTTTTGGTGATGTCACCTATTTATTTTTGTTGAGATAATAATGTCCATATTAAAATGTTGTACTAGCATATTTAAAAAATTGTTTGGTTAAGTGAAACTGATAGGTATTTAGTGTATATATTGAATTACTTTTTATAAGTTATTTACCATTATATCTGTCCATCTCATAAATTAGGATAGTTGGCCCAAAAGATGAAATTTTGCATCAATATATATAGCTATGTCACTGTACATCACTACATTGTATCTTGTGGCTGAGAAAATGGCATTTCTTTATTGTGTCTGTAGTTGGTCTGGTTTTTTATCCTGCTACTCCATTTGGTGGGAGACCCATTGATTAGGGAAAAAAAATCCAATACAATTTAAAACTTAGTCTGGTATGATGACTGAAATATGTAAGATAAAATTGCTCAGTCTTTGTCTGCTTTTTTCCCTGGGATGATTTAAGTATGTGGGGTGAGAGATATGGCCTATATGATATTCTGGCAGTGGGGAACTGCTTTTTCCCCTTAGTTCGAGTTCTGCTACTTCCTCCGGTTTCTAGAAGAGTGTCCTATTACCTTCTAGTTGTGTTTGCCTGGCTGGCATGTGCCGATGATATCATGGCTGGTGTAACTTATGGTGGGGCCTTTCTGGTTGGTAAGAACCTAGTGGTGCTCCCTCACTGGTTCATTTTCTCTTTGGCTCCTTCTCTCTGAGCTCTCCCGGGCATCTGCCATGTCTGTATCTGGCCTGCTGGCCTGGAACTTAATCCACAGCCTTTGCTGCAGAATCTCCCTTGTTTCACGGTGGGCCCCATTGGCCAGCCCTCTAGCTCAGGAATCTGAGTCTCAGAGTTTATCATTACCTGACCGTGTTTGGAGAAACCTTCACTCAGGATAATGGCCTGGCACTACAGTAAGACAAAGCACTTACTATGTAATCCTTCTCTGTATGTCAGATTCTTCATTTTATCTCCTCACACTTCCTTCACTAGTTAAACCTAATAACTTCTCAGACAGATGAATGCTTCCAACAGACTATGGCAGAGGTCACATACTAGGAGAGGCAAAACAACAAAAATAGTAATTTTCAAGCATCTTTGCTATCGCATGTGTGTATATAGACATATATGAGGACAATATTCACAAAGGTGTATGTAATTCTAAGTGTACACAAGTCTTACATTTAAGAAATATAGGATCTATAGAGAGGCATAAGTGGTATGCTTACACATATATGTGTATATGCAGTATATATATAGTTAAGATCTATATGTATATATAACATATATAGTTAAGATATATATAATTAAAGTTAAGAGGTTTGGTTTCTATCTATGAACATTTTCCCATGACTAACAATGCTGTGATTTAACATACACTTTTTTTTTTCTTTTGTAGGACCGTTCGTGTATGGCTAAAGAGAGACAGTGGACAATATTGGCCAAGCATATACCATATGATGCCTTGTAAGTATCTGGATCCCTGTCTTTAGAAATTAGACATGGACCACTTCCTTTCCAGGTTGCCTTCTCTGTGTTTCCTTCTTGAGTGGGGATGTCTGAGGGTTGAGATTAACCTTATGATGGAAAGTACCATATTAAATCATTTTAGCTCTCAGTATGTAAAATAGGAAAATTGTTCTGAAATTGACCATATATTCATAGTTTCTGAATAAGATTAATGGAAGACGGGCTATAGGACATTGGCTTTCTGATTACAGCTGTCTCCCTCCTTTCCAACTTTTTGTTTCACTTTCTTGTGGAGTTCTTCCTTCGACATTTAAAATTTTGCCTGGTGGTTACCTTTGTGAAGTAAATTTGTTCTTGCACTATTGTTATATTATTCATTCAAATACAAGACATTCAGCGTTGACCATTTGGTACCCAGAAGGGCTTGCTTACAATTGAAACATTCTAAGTAGAAGTCAGCCTCATGTCCTCAAGATTTTATATGCGAAATACGTCCTTGTGCCGATAAATAGCTAATCTTTAAATATATTATAAAACATCCTTAGATTTGATTCTTAGACTTGTGTGCTGGCAGAAGTTCTCCTACAGAATAGCTAGCACCTCTAAATAGGAAATGTCTTTTTAGCCTGGCATTTTGTCTTTAAAAAGTGATGAGGTTTGGGGATCCTATTCCATGTTTATTTGAGTATAAAATAGTTATTTAATTTCGTTATTAGTTATATTATTCAATGTTTCCCTGACTCTCCTTCAAATCTTAATTAAAACTGACACCCTAGAAAAATCCCTCAGGTTTGTCCTTTGGGCCTTTGTCCCCTCCGGCTTGCTATAGCGTGCACCCCGTCCCTGGATACAGGTACCCCAGTTTGAGAAGTATGGGCCACGGTGTACAACCGGAATAAATTCATGCTGAATTATAGATGTGATTAAGTTTATGCCTCTGGCAAAAGAATGCTGTAATAACTTAAATAGCTATTTTGCTTGCTTATGAACGAATGAATTATTAAGGATATAATGGGTTTCTGTGATTTTCAAATTATCTTTGAGGTTTTGTGTGGCTTTAGAATTTTATAACAAACAAGTGATAACCACAAGCTGAACCAAGTGGTCAGTCCTGCATGAGGGAAGAAGAAACTTCTTGTGGTTCTGAGGACTTGTATTGGCCCCTTAACCTGTGGAGCCTCCAGCAGACAGCATTTATGCAGCAAAGGGCCTAGGTGAACTTCCTCTTTAAGCGGTGGCAGTGACGAGGGCTCAGGCAGAAGGAAAGGGAAAGGAATTTTCTGATTGATTGTTTTTTCTGATCTTTGAGTGGTATAACCAGTCTTTTCTACGATCTTCCCTTTTCATCAAACCTGACACGGTATCTAACTGGAGGAGTGGGGAAGGTCTGTAGTCCAGCAAGTTGAAGTTGACTCTAGAGATCTGTTACTACCTTGACTATGAAGACAGAGGAGAGTTAGACCTGGGCAGAAAGATGAGGGCTCAGGGATGGTAAGCAAGGAATCTTCTTGAGATGAACTTGAGTAGGAACCTCATGGAGACAGGATCCTAAGCAATTGCTTATGCGCCCCCTTCCCTATACACACATCTAAACCCGTTTTGCTGTCATTCTGTGATGCTGTCTTTATTTGAATGTCACTGAGAATACAGAGATGCCTCTAGTTGCTTTTTTATCATTTATTCAGCTGTGTGAATGACTAAAGGCTGCTGTGGCTCCTACACCTGCCAAAAGTGCTCAGTACATCAATACTTATTGAAGACTTGAATCTGATAATACAGATAAGTCCCTGAGAACATTATCATACATATTCCTAGTGACTGAACACAGTCTTTGAGATTCAGAAAGAGGACCCTTTCATTATTTGTGTATTTTGCCTGTGGCCTTCCATAAAGGGAGTGGAAAGGGCATTACCTTGCTATTAAAATGTGTGTGAACCAGAAGCATTAAGGTCACCCTAGAACCTACCAAAAATACAAGTATTGGGTGCCATGCTAGATCTATAGAATCGGAATCCGCATTTTTTTTTTTTAATTTTTTTTTTCAACGTTTATTTATTTTTGGGACAGAGAGAGACAGAGCATGAACGGGGGAGGGGCAGAGAGAGAGGGAGACACAGAATCGGAAACAGGCTCCAGGCTCTGAGCCATCAGCCCAGAGCCTGACGCGGGGCTCGAACTCACGGACCGCGAGATCGTGACCTGGCTAAGTCGGACGCTTAACCGACTGCGCCACCCAGGCGCCCCTGAATGCACTTTAAAGTGCATTGAGAAGAGTGTCTTCTGACATTATAGCCAACATGCTGATCTATTTTACACATGATTCTATGAGCACATACAAAAAGCCTCATGCATGTATAGTATTGATTTCTACATACTTAGATAGAAGTACACATTCTAGTGGATCAAATATTTATTGTGCCCCTGCTGTATCCAGGCCACTGTGCTAGTTGCCAGGGTTTGCAGATAATTAAGATGCATATTGTCAAGATGATTTCCATAATCTTTCATTGTTGGATAACTCCACTACTGTGGAGAAGTAAAAAGAACGATATGTTCTTCACAATTGATCAGAGATTGGCTTTTATGTTCCTAGGAGTTGAATGCATTTAGATAACATGGTAACTAATATTTGAGCAAGAGTCAGTTTTATTTAACTTGAGAGAGGCAGAATCTTGTTGCATAAGGAATTATGCTATATTTTTGGACATTTAGAAAACCTGAAATAGCTTTGAATTTCCAAAGGTTTGTTTTTCAGTTCTTCCTATTGAAAGGTGTTTTGTTAAGAGATTACTTAGTTTTGTCCTTAAATAATGGTTATGTGGTATTAGTTACAAAATAAGTAAAAAGATACACTATGTCTGGAGGCTATGACATGGACATCACAAGGCACATATGACCATATAATGTGTTTATAGTGGCATATAATAAGTAGTATTCCAAATCCAGAAGAAAACATAGAGAAAATATCTTTACATGTAATATATGGCTTACTTGTTTATTTCATTTATTAAAATTTAATATAGTATTTTTCATGTTCTGGGTAGGATAGTACTGTTTTGTAGCAGCGAGAAGCAGCGAGAGTTTAATGGGTGGGAAGAAGGGGAAGGCATTGGATGAAAAAGAATGAATAGTGGAGGCAGAGTTTGATGGTTGGGAGAGAGCCTGAAAGGCAGGGATTTATGATAAGGCTGGATGAACTTGGGGGAGTGGTACACAAGGGAAGGGTAAGGAGCAGGCACATCGTGCTTTGGGGGTGTCCTCAGACCCGATCTTTTCTGAGAAGCTCTGACTTCCCCTTTAGGAGGGAATGAGGAGAGGCCAGACTTGCCTGGTTAAGGCTGTTTGCTCCTGAGCCAACCTGATTTTCCCAGAATTTAGAATTTGGAGTAGGAAATGCTAAGTTTCAGCCTTGGCTGGTCCCTTGAGCTGGGAATATGTAGACCTTATAGCTGTGAGTAAAGAAACAGTGAAAGCTGATCCGCTTAGAAGGAAGTCCGAATCAAGGAGGAAGGACCACTTGGCTCAAGAGGGAGAGAAGCCTAAATAGATGATGCCTGAGGCTTTTCTCCTCCTCCCCTCCAGAACCCTGGCTCTGCTTCTGCCTTTGAGTTCAAGAGATTCCCTCTTTTACTGGATACATTCATTAGTGCTTCCTTTCACTCCAGTGGGTTTCCGTCACTTCTAACTGCAAGTATCTAACTCAACCTAGCCCAGATTGTATACCTCCCAATTCCTGTCCGTTCAGTTTCTCCTGGATCTCTATGATCTTTAAAGAGAAAGGACTGAGCCGTGTCCCGATTGGTGCCACTGTGGTGCTGAGCTGCAGATTGTCTGCGAAAAGTGAGGGTGAGTAAAGAAAAAAAGCAGAAAGAAATATTTATTCCATTTAATTTCTTTGGACAGTTTATTCAACAAATTTTAAATGTTTCTGCCATACTAAACACTGTGCAACGTCCCAAGAATATAGTGGCGAGGTAGGGCAGATGATTCCTGTCTTCATGGTGTGTACGGTGGGGAAGGCAGACCTAAAATAAGCCCCACTCATGCTGTGTGGTGAGTGTTGTCACAAGCAGCAGGTGTAATGGAAACATGCTCACAAAGGTTCCCAGAAGAAAGTCCATTTAAAACCCTGCCGTCTCTAGAGAATTTGGGGTGACTGGTGACTTGTTGTGTAGTTTCCTATGTGCCGATTTTTATGGATGAGTGAGAAATAAGAGCCTTTCCTTATCTAATATTCTTCCAGAAAATAACATCCTCTTGATGTATCTCCTGTAATAGCTGCTTATTGCCTGTGACAAGATCAAATTACACTGTGCCCAACTGGGACCTGCTTGAGCTTGGAAACCAGAGAGGGGCCTTTCTGAGGGTGTAGAGTTGAGGTTTCAGTTGTAGCCATTAGTGATTATCTGTTCCAGGCTTCTAGTAGATACCATTTCAACCCCTGCCTTTGCATCTCTCTACAGCAGGAAAAACAAAACAAAGAATGAAAAGCATAGGTATTGCCATTTTCATGGTTGAGTTATTTTAGATTTACTTTTTTAACTACGTTTGCCATTCATGGGGTCAGACAGAGGGGTGGAGGAGAGAAATCTCAAACAGGAGCCAAAGTGGCAGGTGTTTGAGATTTCGCTTACTCGATTAAAGTATTGGGTATCGTGTCTGAGCCTCCATTGCCAGCTTTCCCCCTTGGGCATGCAGAATAGGTAAAGCAGTTCAGCTGCCAAAGATGTGAATAGGAGGTTGAGAGGCCCAGAGCCTCAGGACTGAGGGTGTGTTGGACAATTGGAAACCTCTGTGGGTTCTATAGTTGCCAGGGCAGATGAAATTTACTTTGGCTCCTAAGCGTTTATGAATTTGTCCCCAAAGCAAAACAGACAGTTTATCAAAGATAAATACAAATAAAAGGCACACCTAACACGGAAATAAAATGACCTATTTTTCCAGCTCTCTGCCTTGGCGTGGCGGGATGGCATTTGCCCAATCTGGAGTTGTGCTGG